TAAATTATTCAACTTCAGAGTGATCACATTGAAAAAAGGGGAAAGTGCCACAGGTTAAGCCCTCGTGCAGGCGACGCGCGGGACCATCCCCGGGGAAGGTCCCTTTGGCGGGGCCTCGCCGGATGGAGCCTTGGCGGGCGCCATGGCCGTCGCCCTGCTCCGAACAGCCTACCCTGTGACACTTCTCAAAAACGTGTCCTACGGGGCCGTCTTGGGCCTGGAGTGAACTAATAGCATGCACTGTCGTATGGGTCAGCAACACAATGCCTGCAACGTAAGAGACACCACAATAATGTAATGGTTTATTGCATGAGTGAGGGTCCGAGAGCAGGTGGTACAGGTACAGTACTGCCGTTAATATGCGAGTTGAGGTTTGAGCCTCTTGCTTGGCCCGCATACCATGATGCACAGCTCATCTCCAACCATCAACCATGAGCATATCTGACGTGAATAAATATTAAATAAGACTACAACTGTATATAAAACTATAATCCCCTCCCAACAGCCAAAGTCACCGTTGCTATTACTTAGGAAAATTCAACCCCCACTCGGTAGAAAGTTTTGATGAAGCTGCTACCAATAACCAGCGTTATCCCCTCCTATCCCCTGTTTTGTATGCAATAACACCGATGAGCTCCGATCCAATCTAAACTAAAATGGTAATTACTTGGTATCCAAAGCTACGAAATTCACTATCTCCCCCTCCGACTCCCTTTCCCTCGGTGGGCACGAAAGCACAGCGGGAAAGGCGGGAGAACGCCCAACTTCCCTTCTAAATGACTACTCTCTCACCCAACCTTGTACGTGTCGCTCCGCTGTTCGGAAAACACTGGTAGTCCCCCTGCTACACACAAGAAATCAAAGCGTAGTATAGCAGCTATAACCTGGCGACTATTAGGATGGTGAGACTCATAAAACTAAACAATAATAATGATAATAATAATAATGATGATAATAATAACAACAATAATAATAATAATAACATAAATCCAAAATAAAAGTAAAAGGGGGAAATGTGGTCCTTATACTCAATCTCTCTACCCTCTCGAGTAAAAACAAATTCACTTAAGTAACCGTGTTACAAAATACATGACATCCAAGGAACATTACGACAATATAACATACTCTTCAGATACTTCATTTAGGGATGATGATCCTGACGCGCACACAAGACAATCCATGAATGGCCGTGACGTCACAGGTGGAGGAGTGCTCTCACTTCACTCCACTTTCTGTCGAAGTTGATGACTTTACCTGCGCACTTAAATTTAACTTTTGACTTCACAACACTGGATTAAAAATATAGTCTTTTAATATATATAATTCAGAATAGAGTCAACTTACTTAAATCTAATCTGGAAAACAAAAGGTACTTCTAACAGCCCACATCCTTTTGGCTTTGTGACGCAGTCTTCGGGACGAACCCTTCCGAACTTCACAGCACCCTACGCAGAGACAAGTCATCTCTCTTTTAGGAATAAAGAAAAGAAAAGGAAAAAAAAAAGCCTCCGCATAAATATACTCGTCTCTCTCTCTCACACTCTCATCGTTTCCTCATCTGCACACTGAGTTTAATTAGTTTTCCTTCAATTCCAGGACTGTTTTTTTTTTGTTTTTTTTTCTAAAGACTCGTGCCGATTCACTCCGGTATCCACGCACAGTCGATCAGGTCGAGATTCTCGTACACGGACTCTAACTTGGCCATGTTGCCGTGAGTGCGTATGTGGCGCGCTATGTTTTTGGCCGTGATCGTCTTCTGACAAACCGGACACACCTTTCTCTCTCTGTCGTAGGCTTTTCTCAGTTCCGTCTCACCTGCAAAAGGAGAAAAACCGGGTTGTACTATGGCTGGACTACCTTACTGTGCTACTACTGGCCCGGGGGGAGAGAGAGGGAGGGAGGGGAGGGGAAGGTGGGGGAGAGGGAGGGTCTTTTATATTACAACTCAGCTACCTTGACTACACTACTGGACCGCTCTGGCACAAGAGGGGCTGCCCCGGGCACATTCTGAAGCCTCCGCCCTCGGGCCGCCGAAGGAGCTCGAGGACCCGAGCCAGAGAGAGCGACGGGACATTACGACGGAGACTCGGCGGAATGGCCGCACACGGAAGCCGCCCTTGGAGGGGCGTCCGCGTCCGCCGCAGGGACTGCCACGCCGCACACTGTGGGCCCGGAATGACCTCTATCGCATACCTAAATGATCGCCTGTGCCACTCTTGTACGAATCTGAAGAGGCGCCTACTAAACGGCTGGGCTACGCGAATATTCACGCCAGCTTTTGTAATCTTATTAAGAGTGCATGAAAAGTGTACATTTCCTTAGAACATGAATTCCAATTCTACACTTTTGAAGCATGTCATAAACATTCCTACATGAGACGACTTAAATCTTTTGAGGGGGAAGTCTATAGATGACACTCGAAGAAGAGCAAAGCCAGGTCACAACCGCGGCATGACCGAGTCGAGGGCCACTTGGGAGGGAAGGGACTGAACGTGCCTTACCGTGAGCCAGGCGGGACGTGGGGGCGGCAAGCACACTGCATACTCTAAATAATCCGACACATTCTCTGTAACTCATCAGTCGGCTCACACACACACACACACACACACACACACACACACACACACACACACACATAAACCAGATGCTGCATCGCTCTGCGGCAATCGACTTCAACGCACTGAAGCTGCAAATCATATATAAACTAGCGCGCGCCTTCATTATACAGAACATGCAAAAACAAAAATGCTAAAAGTAAAACAGAAACGTGAAATGCACATCCATACATACTAACTTCAGGAAAACTAATTCATGGCAACAGCAGCAACAACAACGACAACAACAATAATACTAATGGTGATAATACATAAATAACAACAAAACACGACAACTGAACAGACAAACGGCCAACTCATCCCACACACAAAACAACAAGCCGTCTCCGAGAGCGAGCCCTTGACCAGACGCCCGACCTAGAGAGGGCGAGGGCGGGGTGGGCCGGCCCTTTCCCGCGCCCACGAGGTCCCCCGCCCCCCGCCCCCGCCCCATCCGTCGCAGCCCGCCCTTACCTCTCGCCAAAGGACTAGCCCTGAGCAAGACATGGCGAGAGCGGCCGTGCGGAGCAAAAGCAACGAACAAAACGGCACCGGGCGATAATGCCACGATTGGCACCAGTAATGAGAATAAATAGAATTTTTACGACTAAAGCAACATAACAACAACAACAACAACAATAATAATAATAATAATGGTAACTGCAATAATAATGGTATGATAATAATAACAATTATTATAATGATAAAATTAACAATAATAATCGTAAGAACAGTAATAATAATAATGATAATGGTAACAATAATAACAGTAATGATAATAATAGTAATAAAAAAATGATGATGATGATGATGATGATGATGATAATAATAATAATAGTAGTAATAATAATAATAACACTAACAACAATAATAATAATAATAGTAATATTTCGATGTTGACATTAAACTGAAACTTAAAACAATAATGAAAAGTGGGGACAGCTAATAATAACAGGCATAGTAATAGTAGTAGTGATAATTTTAAAAGGAAATAATGATGACTGATACTCATGAATATACTACACTACTACAAAAATATAAAACGTAATAAATTCTAATAAAACAGTAATACATGACTGTCACCACGATGACAGACGGAATTATGACAAAAGTAACATTAATACTAATAATGATGATGATGATGATGATGATGATAATAATAATAAAATAATAATAATAATACCAAAGTAATAATAACTAAATAATAATAATAATAATAATAATAATAATAATAATAATAATAACCACCACAGCAGACTGTTACACGACTTGCCCATCAGGCATCTCCCCGAGCAGCCCTGGGGCGTCTGATCGGCCTGCAACATGGCTCTTCTGCCTCTCAGCCACACCCCTCGAGGCTCGACCAGGCGTGCGACTATGGAGGGAAGGCGCTCGTGGGCCGGGAACCTCCTTATGTAGGCATCGAGTCTTACACTTTTCAGCCCGTAATATACATATTTTTATCACCATTTCTTCTGTTCCTTAACGTGCACCGTGGCAGGGAAGATCCATTTCCCAAACGGTGACGGGGAGACGGAAGGGGCTGCACGTACCCCGGGACTCATAGCACCGGTAACTGATCTAGGAAGGATTGCATCGGTGCCTGGATCAACTGTGCTCGACCACGCACACGTCCACCACCGTCAGTGACAGAATAAACTCGTCCAATCAACACCATGCCAACAGTAAAAAAAAGAAGGAAAAAATCATATAAAAAAAAATCGCCCGGAAATGGAAATGACTTACCGTATATGTATATATCTGTCTTTGCAGCATCCGTTTGGTTCTTTCTCTCCTGTAGGATAGCTGCCTTTAAGTGAGGTTTTAATTCTACCCTTGGTGCATCTTGTCAAATCCGAGCGACATGTTCATTCGGTTCTTCTTTTATTTCTCTTTATTTATCTTTAATTTCTCGTACCATTGCTTTCTTTCACGTACTCTTTCACTTCGATCATTTGCAACATCACTTTCTTGTTTCATTCCCTTCCCATATACACAACCTTATTCTTCTCACGTGACGCTGCGTCCATTCTTGTGCCACTCGCCCTCCCAGACAGCTCTACCCTCCCCCTCCCCAACCCCCATGTTAGATACGCCAATGATCATCTCTAATAGTCAAACTACCTTGTTTCAGTTAGGCTCCAACACATTCACTCCAATACTGGGTCCTACTCTTTCGTAGCTAAATCAGTAAGCGTCATGAGCCAATTTCCTCCCAATGAAGCGCCGGCGACATGTTGAACTGAACTCAATTTTCCGGTGAAGCGTGATACGTATTTCTTGCCTTGCATTTTTTTTTTTTTCAGAAAATTCAGTCTTTAGGCCAGCTGAGAGGCCTAGAGACTGAGAGTTCACATCTGCTTGTGAACTATTTCAGCAAATAAGGAACATAAAATAAAACAACCATTTTATATACAAGTATTTTAATTGAAACCAAATCACTTATCATTATCCATGTTGTAGATATACAGTCTTGTATATGAGATAATTAAAATAATCAGACTTTAAATTTTGACTTCGTTACATTACTTCGAATATCTCCATTGCACTTCTGACTACACTTAATAATAAATCATATATTCTATCATGTACAGTTTCACCTTAATGTCATCAAACATTAAACCATGAATACTTATCCATAATAACCAAAAAGCTACCAAAAAGCTGTAAAGCTTTTTCATAATACTTCATCATTTTGTGTGGATAACACATGTGCGTTTGATTTAAAGCCATTAGTTTGTGGTTACATTATTCAGTCTGTTCGATTCCGGTACCGCAAACTACTGCCGCCCAGGTCGCACGCGGGGCGCGACTGCAGTCACTCTGGAACACGTCCTACCCATGTTCCCTGCTGCCTCCCTCTCCACTAGTCGCTGCTTGAATGCACACATCATCTCCTCCTGTACGCAGAAACGCACACACATCCACACAAGACATAAATACAAGGATGTACACGTACGTGCGCACGCACACATATTCATGCAAGACATTCATACAATGGTGTACAGGTGAGTGCACACAACCACACACACACACACACACACACACACACACACACACACACACACACACACACACACACACACACACACACAACTATAAAAAAACAAGTACATACAACAAACACACACGCCACTGAAGTTTCCATAAAGGCAGACACTACACCCGTGTTCGCACTACATTCACGGATATATAACAATAACAATATGATGTATTGTGACTACACTGACTGTTGCGTGTAAAACAAGAAATAAATGTCTCAGGTATGGCTGTATGTTTGCGAAGTATTACAATTACTAAAATCCTGTTAAAGTTGCCATGCATTAAAGTACAGTCTACCTAGAAAACGGTACATTATCATCTTTAAAATGAGTAACAAATGTAACAGTTAACGTTACATACTACTATCAACATCAACATTAAAAATAATATTGATAATAATATTATTAGCATTAACTATAATAATGGCAATAACAGCAACCTGTTATTTAAAGAAACAAATAATTGTTTACGTAATTAAACGTTACTTTAACTGAATGGATCTTAAAAAATAAATGAAAGTAATCTACCGTGACTTGTGTGATGTGTGTGTTCGTGTCAATGGCATCAAGAAACTTAACAAATAGTCTTGTCTGACAAGTTATTGCTCCATGAAACGCGGCCCCGTGACGGGCGCGGTCGTAGGCGTGCAAGAGGGAGCCTGGGCGGCGTCGCGATGCAAGAGTCTGGCATCTACTCATCAACGCACACTCCGATTACTAGACATCAAATCATGGAAAGACGCACATTATTATGATTCCAGTCCTGCGATGATGACACACTTGAAAAGCACAGGCAAACCTAAATATCAACTAAGTCCTAAATATAATCAAATCATCTCCAAACAATGATCAGAGGAGTCATTACCCCATTTTTGTACAACCGCATGTGCTGCTTTGGTAGTGCTGTAGTACAAGTATCATGACGACATTGGATAAAAGTTCACTAGTTTGTGAATCGAAATCAGATCCTGGTTTACCTCCCTCGCGTCCTTGTGGGATCAACGTCTGGCCGCGAGACCCGTCTAGGAACCGTCAGAGCTTTTCGGGCCGCGCGCCCTCGCTCGGAGGGCGGCGTCATGCTGGCAGCCGGGTAATGCCTGCTCTCTGAGCACATGCTGACTGGTGGCCAGGCGATGATGGCGAGGCGAGATCACAGGGTGAAGAACTCATACGTTAACGGCACACAACACGCATCCAAAATGTCTTTAATCAAGTTGGGCCGCGCGCGCCCGAGTGAAATGACCATAACGCCTCAGAAACAGAGAAGAAACGAAGGGCTTGCACGGCGGCCGGAGTCGCGTGCAGCCAGATCAACCAGCGTGCCGTCCTGACTGGTGATGGGACTACGGCCTACCTCTAATTAGTATGTTACCACGTCCGTTGCATATTGCTCTATCTAGCTACTGGTCCGTATCATCAATGGGTAAAACTAGATTTTAAACTGTCCATTTAGGTGGCGTCATGTCAAATTATGAAAATATTTTGACAATGTACATATGGCATTCTCTATCAATCAATCAAGACAACTTAACATATGAAAATATGCAGGCATTATACACGTGGCATAATACTCTTCAACCACCGACAAACATTATAACTTAATAGCCAAGGCTTTACAGTCACTAAGGTGTAAGGTGGCCCATCACCGGCCTGCGAGGTTTTTGTTACAACGGCGCCCCGAGCCACAAGCACTTCCAATACTGATGTCAACACAAAGCACAATACACCAGGGAGACTCGTTCCTCTTCCTCCACATCCACTCACAGTAAATGAGAAGCTACGCAACTTGCAGCCTATGCCTGCGGTCACTCCCAAATGACAGGTCGGTCTGAATACATATTAATATATTTTGGTATACAATGCATCAAGGGATGTGGTTAATATATGGTATTTGTGGATGAACGCGTGCTACATAAGGACTCTCCCGGGTTAAACCGTCCAGGCAGGCTGTGGCTGCGAGGCGCACCAACTGTCTTAGGAATAGCACAAAGACACTCAATCCTGAGACGGGTGTCTCCTCCTCTACCGTCTCGAGCAACAGCCCACCGCTGCTCGTCCTCCCTTGCCTCCTTGGACAAAATCGTATTACAGTGATGTCACACGAACATTTAAATATTGCGAGCTAAACAGACGAGGCAAGAACAAACAAAAGAGTTGGCAGGGGAGGCGCACGGCAGGGAAGCTGCTGCCACAGCGGTCTCGGGGCAGGAGGGGTCTCGGGCAGCAACACTCTCACACTGGCAGAAACAACATGTAAACTCTGTAACAAACTACAGGACAAGAGCGTGCACTAAAGCAGTGAGTCAAAGCTGGAGGATTTAGAGGGCGTCTGACTGGCCTGGGCCGCGTCCCTCGTCCCGCCTGGGTTGGTGGTGGGCGTGTGCCCCCCGGCTGCGGCGCGGGTGTAGGGCAAAGTGATGGGCACGAGGCCAGGGGGCACGACCCTGCCGCTCAGGTGGCCGAAGCCTGATGTATGACCTGACCAACCCTGACCCTGCGGTGACGTCTGCTGTCCTGCCCTCGGTTCTGATGACTTTTGCTGTTCCTGCTGCGGTGTGCGTTGCTGTTGGTGCGAATAAGCCTGCTGGTGGGAGAAGTGCTGGGACAGTCCCGACACCTGGCCCGACTGCGAGCTCTGGCTCCCGGGAGACTGGTCGGGACTCGCCCCCTTCCACGATCCGTCGTCCTTTTTCATTTTTGACTTTTTCCATTTTTGCCGCCGGTTCTGGAACCAGATTTTGACTTGCTGCTCCGGGAGGCGCAACCTCAGCGCGATATCTTTCTTTCGACTGCCCGTGAGGTACTGATTCAGGAGGAACTCCTTCTCCAGCTCAAGGATCATGTGGCGCGTGAAGGCTGTCCGTTTTCGCTTATACTCAAGCCCATGTGCGAATTGCATGTTGGCTGTAAAGAGCAGATGCAAACACTGAGATCACATCAACATAAAGGTCTTAGTCAACGTTAAATTTCATCAAAACTGGGAGAGCATGTCGACTATCAAGATATTTATTACTGACTGGAATGATGAATTTTCCTTTATGCCACTTATGAGAGTTTTCTTAGACACTGCTAGTTCAGGCAAACTGCTTACAGTCTAAATGTTACTTCTTAGTTACTTTCGTTCTTTAAGTTCAAGGATACAGAGACTGTTAACTCAAAGTAGTCATTATCAACTAACAAACTGGGGAGAAGGGGGTGGGGGAGGAATCCCGCCAGACATTGCACTTCTTAGACTTCCCGAAGTGCTCCCTCCTTGGGTGGGGTCTCCCTATCAGAACGTCATTCCGTGTTGGTGCGAAGGACTGTGCTTATACTGCGGGGTTTACTCTAAGAGCCATGGATTGGCGAACTCAATCAACCTTCAACTTGAAGTAAAACTAAAGAATCAACTGACATCGCTTAAGTGAAGCATGTTAAATAATCTGACTAGAAAGTTAAAAGAGGTCTTGACCAACACTGAAATTCTGTTCGGATTTCCCAAGGCAGTTTGGCACGAAAATCAAGCCAGAAAGAGGGAGAGAGGGAAACAAGAGAAGGAAAAGGAGAGGCAGCGAGAGAAGGCAGAAGGGAAACATAGATGCGTGAGCAAGATATTGCTGAAGGGACCCCACGAAGAAAGAATAGAAGGAAGAGATTGACGAAAAGAGAGAAAAAGACTAAAAGACAGGCAGACAGACGAGAAAAAGAAATGCAAAGGGCAGGTTCCTCCCCGGATTCCCCACTGACATCCCTCAGGGGAAGTGTTAGCAAGGCGCGCCACTTACCGAAGACACTCCCCGCCCCATCTGTAAAGAGACCAAGAAAACACATCTATTACACCGAGTTTTTTCCAGTCTCTGTATCCTTAAATTACAACACA